GCTGGTAAAAGTAACCAATCTCAGTCTAATCACTGGCTGTATGCAGTACACCTGTGTTGTAGCCCTGGTGATAGGAACTCCACCCTCTGGGAGTTGTAGTATTTTCAATACTGGATGCCAAACTGAAAGGCATACAATTGAACGCCATATTTGTCTTGTCATACAGTACCACAATATAAAACAAGGGTGGAACACAGTGAAAACAGAAAAAACATTTAAAATCATGAAGCACCTTATAACAATATCAAATTACTCTTTCATCACATAGTGAATGAGGCTCTGAAAGGAATCAGGCTAGAGCCATCATTAATCAGAGATCCCCAGATCTATATAATATGATCTTGAAACACAAATAGAACATAAGGTCAGGAAAGGGTATCAAGTGAGAACTATCATAAATCATGTGTTTATTAGCTTGTTAGTGTTGATGTTAGCATTCATTAGCAAAGTGAATAGACTTGTAGCCACAGTAAAGCTTACGCCATAGGCTTTGTAGGTCATCGTTTTTGACCTGGAAACCCTGAAGATTTATTGGACAGTGCTAGAAGCCAACTTAACAAGCCCATACTCGGACTTTTATTGGACTGTACGCTGGGTCAGTATGCAGTTGCCGGCTTGTGTGTGTGAGCGTGCTTGATATGAGGGGCCCACTGAGTTTGGTATAAACTTGAAATTGAGGTAAATTTGAGTTAAAGGTAACCAGAATTTCAGTGTTTTTGTGTTGTTGCCAATTTAAAGGAGCAATTGCTGTAATTTTTCAAGGGGTGTAAGGAGAAAAGTGAACTTTCAAAGAAAGTAAATATTATTTATAGTGTTATAGTGTTGATTTTGCACATTTAAAAAGTAAATAAGAGAAATTCATTATCTCTTTATTCCAGTGTGAAGTCTGGTTATTCTTCTGTCAAAGGTGTGTTTGTATAAACGGTAAATTATTGGTATATTCTTGTTAAAAAAAGTATTTCATTTCATTGAAGTGTGTTAATTGCCTTAAATTGATTACAGTTTGGTAAAAAAAGGGTTAATACATTTAAAAAAAGTGGTATTATATTTCATTGAAGCTGCAGTATGTCGTGACTCAAGACAAAATTAAAGGTACATATTAAAAGTGAGAGAAGATAAAATTACCTTTAAAAAACCTTATTACACAGGAAGTTAACTGTATTAATGAACTCAGGGCCCCACCTGAGTGAAAAGTGAGAGAAGATAAAATTACCTTTAAAAAAACCTTATACATGAAGTTAACTGTATTAACAAACTCAGAGCCCCACCTGATTAACATAGGGATAGGTGAGCTACATACAGATGTCTCTTTTGCCATGTTAGTCAATGGGAAAAAGTTTTGTTGGGCTCCAGGGTGTCACATGACAAACCTCAGAATTTGCAGTACCACTTTTTGGCCATTACGAAAATTGGCCTCAAAGCCCGGCACACTTCCTGGGGGCCTGGTGGGAACTTGTGGGTGGAGCCAGCGACAGAAACACTACTGCGCATTTTCAGTGAGCCATATACTGTGAAGGTAAACCTGGAAGCTGGAAACGTTTTTTGGTGTATTTGCCAGCAGAGCAACTCCATTGGAGTGAATAGCTACCTTGTTGGTATCCACTATGTAGTTATTGTTTTAAATCTATGATCCTTTTGCTACGGTTTACGGGTTAAATGATATATTTCTTTGAAATGCTGTGCAATGGTGTGCCACTGGCTTTAAGGGATGTTTGCTCTTGTTTGGTTGATGTGTTAGAGGTGTTACCCAATCATGGATATAGCAGCAATGTGTATTAACCCCGCCATATTAAAATGGCAGTGCCATTGCGTACCACAACAGGGTGTTAAAGCCAGTGTGTAGGAATTTCTCACATCTAACACTGAAATCATATATTGCATTCTGTTTCAAACACGTATTGCAACGATGGTAGCCGCTGTGTACCAAAAAGCTGGCTGATAGCATTGATGAAACCATGTCATCTGATACTTCATGGAGTATTCATTCAGGCTCCTACACAGACACGCAACGCGAGTTGACAAACCCCCTCCTCACCATGCTGGCTGTGTTTACAACGTAGGACTGTTGGGGCGGGTGTAAATCGAAACAAACCAATCACGTCTTGTCCTTTGACAACTGACAAGTGGCTCAACCTCACACACCTCATCTCTCTCCTCATATCACTGCGCGGTGCTGGCCTGTGATTGCATTACCTTTCTCCCTCAGCAGCTCTTTACACCTGGGAAAGGCTGCCGCAATGTTGACCCTCGTTTTTTAAATTCGCCGGTCACGTTGCCTTTTTGATTCCCTTTTGTGCTTTTTTGGCGACAAGGATTCCGTCTCCCGTGATGCTGCATATGCATGATCCTGCATTATGCTCAAAGAGTGGGACTTTGTTATGCTGCAGTAGTGCCGGGGTAGTAGCGAAGCGCCTCTTGCTCCTCTCTTTCGGCTTCTTAGTCACACAGCGCTGGCCTGGCTCTCAACGAAAACGCCAAAGGTGGGGCTGTATGTCCCTTGCTGGCGGATGTATTTTCAAGATGGTGAAACGTTATGGAGCCCCCCAGATGACTTACCCGCACAATGTACAAACAAATCCGAAATTAAGATTATTGGTGGAGGTAATAGTACACCAATGATGACATATTTATGAATGCAGACATCAATGTTTGCCAATAAACAACTGAAAATGTTACACAATGTCCCTTTAAATACACCACTGTTTCCATTTAAATAAAAGTTTTGCTATGTTTTGTTGAAACTTAACATGGTCCTCGTGTTGATATACAACACCCCAAATATTAATATACATCGTTCGAACCCCGGGGTCGGGGAGCCCTTCAGTGCAGAGTTTGCATGTTCTCCCCATGCCAGCGTAGGTTTTCTGGGGGCACTCTGTCTTCCTCCTACATCCCAAGGACATGCAGATTAGGCTAACTGGTGACTCTTAATTGCCGGTAGGTGTGAATATGAGCGTGATTGGTTGTCTGTCTCTATAGCCCCGTTTCCACCAAACACTTTTGGTATGGTACCTTTGGAACCAAAAGTAACCCTTCATATATTCTAATCCTCCCCTTGAGGATTAGAATATATGTAGTACACATAATCCAGTCAATATTAATATAAATGCTTTAAGATACATTCATTACTAAAAGTGTATGTCGTATAAAAAGTAAAATGATGGTCAAGGTTGTCACATGGAATATTTAAGGTGTGTTAATTGATTCACGTCTTCACCTCATGCATTGAGTAACATTAAAAGTTAATGTTCCACTTAATAAGTTGCCGGCAGTCAGCCGAGTGAATTAAGTTTAAGTTTTTTTGCAAGAGGCAGAAAACATTTTTTCATTTATAGTTTTTATGTCATCCCAAAAGTTAGAACAAAAAACCATGGGGAGGCTGCATTCATCCATTATGGCCTACACTTCTGGAATAGCTTGCCAAAGAGCATCAGGACTGCAGAGACTGTTGATGTTTTTAAAAGGAGGCTCAAGACTCACCTTTTTAATTTGGCTTTTAACTGATTTCTTCTACTCTTCTTTTATTATATTTTATTTTATATTTTATTTTATTTATTTATTTTTATCTATTTACTTAATGTCTAATGTTCTTAATGATCTACTTTTAAATCATTATGTATTTTATTATTATTTACTTTAAACTCTTTATTTTTAATTTTTTTTTTTTAAATCCTTACATTTTCTAAATCTTTAAATTTGTCCTGGAGATCCCTCAGGCCTGGAGGACTGGGGGCTCTGCACCATGTGCGGAGTCCACCCTGGTCTATCTGGGTTGGGGTGGTCTCTGTGGGGGCACTCCCTGTGGCCGTAGGCTGTGGCGCCTCTCGGTGTGGATGAGCTCCCATTTCTTTTCCTCACCTGGTGCCTCAGTGCCTTGCCATGTTACTATACTGACAGTTAGTGAGTGCTGTGTGTGTGTGTGTGTGTGTGTGTGTAGTTTAATTTGACAACAGTGACAGACAATCATGAGACTTCGGGTAAACAAGTTACCTCACTGTCCATGAAAGCAAGTCAGGGAGATGTGATGCAGGGTGGTCGATATGTGTGTGTTAAGTGTGATGACTGTGACAACAAGGGAAGTCAAAGAGTGAGAGGCAGGAGTTCCTGCGGTTTCGCAAAGTTGAAACTCAAATGCAACATGCTTTTAATTAAGAACTGATGCCATGGGCCAAACTTAAAAACTAAAATATGAAATTACAAAAAAGAAATGGAAAAAAAGCACCTTGCAAAAAGGGCACTTATCCAGTCAGAGGCCAAAAAGGCAGGTGTTTGAGCACCACCTTGGGTCTATCTATGCATGTGCCTGCATTGAAGTAAACAGGGACCCCGTTTAATAACAGCAAAACTATATCAGAACATCTTTTTAAAGTATATTACTTATAATTCAACTCCTCAGAAGCTCAGTGCTTCCCGAACACATTGCATTAGCTTGTCCTCAGCCCTTGCTCAATGGAACTGAAAGTGAAAGCATACATACTGTCAACAAGAATTGGCCTCTGTCCTACAGTCTGCTGTGTATTACATTATTACTCTGTGCTCTGCTGTTATGGTAGTACGGTAAATAAAATCCCTGCAGCTGTCCGAAGGCAGCAGGACACATATGTGGATAAATCTGTAGCTGCTTATTTGAGAAGTGCCCTGTTAGAGTGCAGCGCCCTTACGCACAGCCTTTCACTTTTTAACTTGATTAAATTACATGAAGATGACACCATGTTGCAATGAAATAACCGCACACTGCTATACACCAGACTGCTCAGTAATAACTCTATTCTGCTGTTTATGCAGATCATCTGGCCTCATCAATATGTCATATGACGTCATGACCTCCTTTGCATTTTTTTCTTTTTTTCTGTTTTCGCGTGTTTAACTTGACATTAATTTTTGTCATGCAATGTTTAGTTGTTTTTTTTTTTTAGTTTCTTTTCTGTATTCCTGATGACATCAAATCATATGTGAGCTGTATTCAGATGAGTTGTATTTCTTTGTTGTGTGTCTCTTAGACTAAGATTGCAGGGCTGGGCTTTGTGAAGATTCATGCTCCCTGGAACATTCTGTGTCGAGAGGCTGAGTTCATGAAGCTAAAGATGCCCACCAAGAGGGTAAGACTCACTGACTCTTTCCATTCTCTGTCTTTCTGCCTGGGTAAAGACTGAAGAAGCCACTTTGTTTTAACAATATTTAAGTAACACAACTTTGTCACTACCTGTATGTACAGTATGTGTGCAATGTAAAACAGAGTGTCAAAATTTCAGTGTCGGAGTAAATAGCTTAGCCTTTGCACTGATTGGCATCAATAGCATGAATTTTGTGTGTTATGTTGGTGTACAGCTGATGTATCCATTGATGTTAGTTTAGGGTGTCATTGACAGAGTTGGGTATAACGTGTTACAAAGTAACGCCTTATACCCAACTCTCATTTTTGCAGTAAAGAGTAACCTGATGCGTTAGTTTGCTGTTTGAGTAATCAAATACTTAAGTAGGGTGACCATATCTTGATTTCCAAAAAAGAGGACACTCGGCCAGCCACAACATAGCCTACTTAAATGATACTCGCAGTTTACTCAAAGATGCCTTATGATTTTAATATATTTAAAATTTATATGTATGGATAGAAAATTCAGTTATATTACAAAATAATATCTCTCAAAGACAGAAATTCAGATAGGCCCCAATAGGGGACACATACACACACTAGAGTGTGGCGATCCGAGCCCGACGGTACCCGACGGGTCGGCTGGGTTTGGTCAAAAATGTAATTATAAATTGTATTCGGGCTTGGGTCGGATTCGGTCAGCTTTCAGTGAAAATGTAGTGTAAAAATAAATAAAATCCTATTGTCTGTCCTGTTTATTGCTTGGGCACTGTTATTTACGTGACAACACCTGAACATAACACACATTGACACACATTGGCTGTTTGTTTCTACCTCTCCCCTCTCTGGAAGTCTCGGACCTCCAGCCGCCAGCCGCCGCCTTGATTAAACGCTGAAAATAAAATAAGAGGGAGACAGGTTTTTCCTATTTTATCTTATTTTGTTTTATTTCTCCCTCTCCCCTCGCTAGAAGCGTCGGACCTCCCGCCTCCCGCTCCTGTCTCAAACATGGAGGTCTCCCTCTCCGCAGCTGAGCACCCACGGCGCACGCCCGGCCTGTTAAATAGCCTGTAACCACTGTGTGACACAAACTCAGTGCTTTGGTCATTAAATAATGTCGGGCTCGGTTCGGGTTCGGACAGAAATATGCTGCCTGTGTCGCACTCTGACACACACACAAACACACGGAAAACCGGACATTATCATCAGTTTATAAACACCCCCCCGGACGCCCCGGCGGGACGTGAAAAGTGGACATGTCCGGGCAAAAGAGGACGTCTGGTCAGCCTATGAGTACATTTTCAAACAAGCCATCAGTTACTTCTCTCAGCCGAAGTTATAAGGGGCTTTTAATTTGAAAGGAATTCAGGAAGTGTTGAGTTTGAAATGTAAAAATATAAAAACACAGAGGGATTAATGAATAACAGACCCTCTATAATGTAGTCTGTTTCAAATGAAGCTGGTAGCCTCTGCAGTTGTGGTGAGTAAAAGCCCCGCTGCTATTTGTTATTGTTATTACTTTATGTCCGACCATGAGGATGTAACATTGTTTGCTCGCTTGATGCTCATGACAGTCAGATACATATACGTAGATGCCGCATTCAACGGCGCTCCTCATTGGAGCGATACGTCAACGCGGCCGCCATCTTGCCCAGGTGGAGCCGCGCTGCCTAATGCATGTATGTCTATCCACCTTATTTTCAAACACGGAAGTAAATAGTGATTAACTTCCGTTTTTTTGTGCATGACTTCCGGCCAGCCGCTTTCCCTCATGCTTTCCCTTACCGGAGCTAACGGTGCAAGCTAATTTTTTTCAATTTTCAGTTGTTTATGTTAGTCAATCAGTTAGTTAGTCTGTGTATTTTGTATAGATAACTGTGCCCACGTTTCCGTTATAACGGAAATTTATTCCCTCTAAATGCGAATAAATCGCACGTCAATCATAAACTATGAACCAAAAAAGCACAGTCTATCCCGAGTGAGACAAACTGCTTGATCCCCGTCTCCAGTGTACCAGCAGAGAACCTGCAGACCCGAATCAGCGAAAAAACACACCGGGCTACACAGCCTCTCTGCCTGAGCAGCTGAAGCTGCGGCTCGCACCCTCGACACACAGACGGTGCTTCTGCATGCCAGCCAAACGTGTGCGCAACTGTGAGAAATAAAGATGGAAGGTGTACGCTGCTTTTCTATCTTTTTTTACCTTTTCTTTCTGTCAGCGACATACACTAACACAGGACGGGTTGTTTTAATTGACTGAGTTGACCATTGAGCCATAGTGATGCGCGGATCGGCTCTGATAGCACCTGAATCAGCATGTGCGCATCAACCATCCAGCCGTTACAACATGATTGAGCTAGCAAAGCAGTTTTGTGTTGCTATGTGTTGTATTTATTCAGTTTTGGGAAATCACGATGTCTATAAAGCATCAGTGGCTGCAGCTGACAGGGACAGCTAACACTAGCAGCAAAGCTAACACCAGGATCGTCATCCGTTAAAAGCCTCCCGTTGTCGGATACGACATGAAACTACTCCACTTAGCTCAATCATGTTGTAACTAAGACATCCGCTGGAGAAAGTGTTTTTTTCACGGGCCACTTTGTGAGTTTAGTGAGTTATTACAGACACGGCTAACAGCTAACGGTTAGCCCAGCTAATCTACGATAACCATGTTATTAATTACACAGAGAAAATACTAATGTTTGTTCAGTCATTGTGTTTATAGACTTTACAAACATCAGATTAGTCTAAACGGTGCTATAGTGACGTGAAAAATGTGATATATACATATATATATAGCTAAACTCAGCAAGGTAAACAACAAGGCGATTCCCATTTACACAGTGCTAAGAGTGCTGGACCGGAAGTGTCGCACAAAAAACGGAAGCTGGCTGCGTTCTGTTTTGCCTCCGTGTTTCCGTGAAAAATAAGGTGGATTGAGGCAGGAGATTATTTATGATTAAAATCATCATTACTCGCTGAATTCTCAACCGATTTTCATGCGGTTTGGTTTGTTACAATTGTGAGACATGTAGTTATGATAGAGGATACTTGGTTAAATAAAAAATGCAGCTTTTCATACCAAAATGTTTGATCTTATGTAGATAAAGTAACAGTAATAGTTGTACAGCACATTTAAACTAAACTTTCCCCATGTAATAAATATTTTTTCTTACTAGATGTACATTGCCCACCATGATGTCATTTAATTATTAATTTTGACTATAAATGTTTATTCACATTTCACACAGTGCAAAAAATAGTGTATCAGCAGGGTTGTGCCGAGCTGCAGTGTAGATTCTGATTAACAAATGTTGGTTTTGTACAAGTGAAAATAAATGACTTAGAGCTGCATGTTCACACAAAATTTTGCTTTAATCTCATATGTATAACACCACAGTGCTCATGGGAGCCTGGACACAGAACATTATTAGGTCATATTTACAAAAAATACAGTGTACAGTAGCTAGTATTATTCTTAGGAGTCTGCCCAGTCCTGTCAAAGTCCTCAGGTCTGAAGTGACAGCTGCAGATGAGTCGGGACAAAGTCCTTTCTCCTCACTGCTGCTACCCATGTCCGTCTCCTATCTGTGTTTTTTGGGAAACTACACACAAAATAAGTGTCAAAAAAACGCAGTTCCACATAATTTGTAGTTACAATTCAGGCCACAAGTTAACTACTAACATTATGCTGCGTTATGTCGGTGCCATGAAACATAGTTGACAATTTGGAATAACACATACACCGACATAGCTGTTTGACAAAGCATCATAATTTTATAAGTAATATTTATAACGTTAAATGTTAACCTTTTTTCTTTAAGTTGTGTGACATAGCGTTAGCTTAATTTGGCATTAGGACCAGATCAGGACAGTTACTTTACTTGATTAGCTTAAAAGAAGGATCACTTTGAGATATATCTCATTAAACATGTTCGTAATAGTAAAAAATTGTAAAACAACTTCTTACCTGTGGAATGTTATTCCCTTCTGCTTGGTTTTAACACTTCTTTCGTTCGTACACCCAAATGCAGAGCAAAAATGTGGCATTTTTGCCGAGTCTGACATGGGTCTGAACCGGTCAGAGCACCTAGGCAAGATGGCAGCGGTATTGACACATCCCACAAGCCAGTGTGCGGCATCTATGTATATATATCTATGAATGACAGTAAGGTTAACTCAGCGGGTTGACAAAGTGCCTCTGCTGTTTCACACCATCATTTCCCCCTTTTACTCTGTGTGGTAACA